GACAGCATTACAGTACCTAGTACACACTGCATACCATACGATAAACCACTGTAAAGTACTGCACTGCATGACAGTATGACCATCCCAGCCTCACACGCATCTCCCAGTCTCACTCTCACACCTAAAAGACAGTGGGATCTCCCTATTCTGACATACGCCCATTCCTACATATGACCTGCATTCCGGAATGGAGCGCAGTCCTACTGTAAGTCAGGGACAGTCTGTGATGGTTATGTACAGTGCCTGAGGCAGCAAGGCAGAGCCGCTCTGGGCAGCAAATGACAGACATCAGAGACAAACAGACGCGCATCACGGCTTTAAAAAAGCGGCCAGCTGTGGCTTCACAGCCCAGCAGATGATTTATCTAGTTACCGGGACCTGTAGCGGGTGCCCGGGCAGCCACTTCCTTCCGGAACATTCTGGACTGCGCTGCTTTTGCCACAAGTTCCGCATTTATCTGCTGCGGCCTCCTCCGTAACGCGCTCACGCACAGCATGGGCTCCCCGGGGATGATCTCATGGTAAAAACACAATCTGTCTTCAAACCAGCTCCTCAGGGACGAGGCGAGCTGCTTTTTTAACCAGGTACAGTGCAGAAAAACGCTGAGCACTAAACCCAGTGAAGTCCGGGGACGATGTTCCACACCCACAACTCCCAGTGGGACTCGGCAGGAGCTCAGAAGGTTATTCATTATGCTGGCGTTGCACATGTAGGGTTTGAGATCCCGATTTCTTCTCATTGACTCCCTTTGAACCCTATGCATGAAATGGGACGAGAGCGACTGGCATCGGTGTGTAAAACCATCATACGGAGACACAGTCCCATGGGCAGCAGGTCTCACTTCAGGGGGATTCCTGCCAATCACAGGGGCAGCCCTGGCTTGTGAGGAGGAGGCCCAGTCTTAAAGGTGACTGGACGGTGAGATGGGGGGGGCGGTGTGTCTCAGCTTTGATTGACAGGCTCTGAACCAGTAGGGGGGGAAGCTGGGAGGTGTCAATCCTACAGATGCCTGGCTAACACTGAGGGTTCATTTGTGCCTGGAGAATCCTGGGCTGGACTGTCGGTTGTTATTAATAGGCAGCTTCTGCTGCGGTGACAGGATATCAGGTGACATCGAAAAAGGCTGCAGAATCTGCCTTATTGTATTTATAACAATGAACTGGCACTGTTTTGTATATCTAGCCAAGCAAATTGTGATAATGGTTACAGCGTGATTCAAAGATGCGTTGTCATTTTTTAACGTTATCCTAGAACCTTGCTGCTCTGCGAATATAAGTGGTTTATATTAAACTAACAATCCCAGGCTTCCAGACATCTCCGCCGCTCAGTGATGATAACAGAGGCTCACTCGCGTTCCTCACCCCAGACAGGCCGAAGCGAACGGCCAGCTTACTGCCGGCAAGCTTCAGAGCTGGGGCGCCAGCGTCTATGTCAGATGCGTGGGCTCTGCTGTGCGAGTCTCTAATTATTTTTGCTTTCACCAACTTTATGTTTCAGCTCCTGGCAGTGGACCAGCGGAAAGCAATAAAAAAGTTCCCTTCTGGCATTTTTGCCTGCAGGATGTAGGGTGACAAGGTGTAAATGCACAGCGATGCATAGTTAGCGAACAATATTTTAAGCTGCATTGTTAGTGTTTTTAAAACAGCAAAAAATAGCTTCCTGTTAAAAACAGAATAGGAAAACATCAAATGTGAAAATAATTCATAGCCTCCATTATGGAAAACAAAAAGCTATTCTCTCCCTTGTTTTCTGTCTCCTTCTCGTTTTCTTCCCCTCTCTCTCCCAAAACTCTGAAATCACAAGGGGGGAGCAATGAAATGGTTTCTGGAATGTTGGTGAGGCGTCGAGTACGGCTCGCTCATGTAATTGGGGTCCCAGGACCTTTCTGCAGAGGCATAAATTGGCTTTATGGATAAATGATTGAGGAATAAGAAGGGCCTGTGTAAGTGAACGCAATATCGAACCTGGAATATGTTAATAGGTCCCTCAGGAAAGCCGTGAACACTTCAACACATGACTACGAGCCTCCTGTTGCTTCTTGGTAGAGCAGATTCATTCAGCTTTGAAGGTGGATGGCAGGTTCGGCAGAAGCGGAGCAACAGTGCAGGTCTGACTGTAGGTGAGTTCTGTTGTTACCATGGTAATTGATCACCAGACATCAGATAATGGATCCCAGGTGACACAGATCGGAAAAATAGTGACATTAGGGTTAACAAGGGTCAGCTGAATGAGAGTAAGAAGGTGTCTATGGTTTAACTCTAGTAGGATGCTATAGGGAAATTCATCCATCCATCCATCCACCCATCCATTTCCTAATCTATTACAAGTCAGAAGGGTTAGACTTGAGCCTGTCACATATGACACAGGGCACAAGGCTAGGGAACAGTCTAAGCAAAATGCCATGAGTCCATGATGGGACACCCACAGTCACACATAACCACCAGGCTTTGGTAAACATTTTTCATTTTTAAATATTTTTCATGTTCGAAACGACAACATTGGACTGTGTGGAAGACATAAAATCCCCATCCTGCACAAATGTCGAGCACATGCAGATCCAGGCCTCCAGCGTTTCATCAACTCAAAAGGTAAAATATGTACACATCTAGTAATCATTTTAGCAGCTTCTATCATGAATCTAGAATCGGATACATAGAGCTGTAAGGGCCTTTGCACACATACATCACATTGCTGTTAAACGCTTCTCATGTTCCTCTGACAGAAGAACGGATCTAATTAATCTTTAAAAATTACTGCACCTTTCACTGCACTGTAGAAGTTAGTGTGGCATCTAGACTTATATTGATTTGCTTTAAGTATCTTGTTAGATTTTTAGTGTGTTAGTTGTCAGAGTTTTTTACAACACTGCACCTTTGGTTTCGATCCCCAAGCTGAGTGTGGAGTTTGCATATCTTGCAGTGAACCGACATCATATCCAGGACACGCCCCCATGACTGCATACAGCGATGGCTAGAATATGGATGGATGACTTAACATCCCAAAAGCCTTAACAATTTAACACTAATGTGTGACATTATACTACAGAATTAAAAGCTATGAACTAGCCCTCTATAAAATTAAGAGGACAGTCATTTTATGCATAGCGCACCATAGGAACCTGATTAAGAAAGTCCTCATTTAAAACCTACTGATGACCTTTAGTTCCTAGCAGATGTTATCAGATAACAATGTCAAACTTCAATTATTAATTACCATTTTTTTCAGTCAGCAGTCCTTGGCTGCACTAAAACTTCTTGTTGGCCCTTTTTAAATTGTGATTTTGAATAAATCAAATCAATCACTTTCAATTACAGACAATGCCTTTGCATATGTGTTTGAGTTTACCAAACAAACAGGCTCTTTTAATGCTCAACATGTAAATATAGCAAAGGAGTAAAGTAATCAAAATATGACTGTTTAAGTAATGGGGAAGAGATACACTAAAGATTTCGATAGAATGGGGCGGGGTGTGTGTATGTGTGTTGAGGGTGGGGGGGGGTCTTGCTATTATTATGATATGTTGGCTCATATTAAATAGAGGGGGTTTGATTGCCATGATGTGAGAAGGAAATCTCCAAGACCTCCAGCAGGTGGAGGGGGTGATGGTATGGACTGGCTTGGCAGTAGGGTGTGTGCAGGGGGTGGGGGGAAGGCAGCATAGTCTGCTTCTGAGGGTCCTCTCTGCATTGACAGGCTGCTGACGGGTGCTGTTGTTTGTGGGGGCGGGTGTGTGTGTGTGTGGGGGGGTATCGTCTGTTTCCACTCCCGCTGTCACCTTTCCTATTTTACAAGCCTGGACTGTGCGTCTCGCTCTGTACCAGACAGAGGATTCTGCATATAAAACAGCAGGCTTGTGTGGTACAGATGCTATCAAATGTCTATGACAGGACAAAGCCAGTCCCCCACCCGCCATCGCTATGGAAACACTATTGAGTAATAAAGTCTTTAAGACTGATGTGTATCTAGGCTGCCTCTTCTTTGGAGCATGTATCCTTTTTTAAAACAAAATACGGTGAAAATTTCATTTGGGAAGCAGCCCCCTTTGTCATCCCCATCGTGGGCTAAAATATACCCCCCCCCCCCCCAAAAAACCGGAAGGGAGCCCGGGGGGGGGGTTTTTCCGGAAAAAGGGGGGGGGGGGGGGGGGGGGGGGGGTGTAGACACTGGAGACTGGGGGTTTAAGATGGGGGCTTTGCATGTGTGTTGTCACGAGGAATTTGCTGACCTTTGGGAATGTTTGGTAGAAAACAATGTGACAGGTCAGACCGGTCATGTGCAGTTTTGCCCAGTATGCATGCGTCATCCAGACCGCAGCTTTATATGGTTCGTTTTGGAGTATGTCCTGTCTGTCTGTACAATTCTGTCTAAATAGCTATAGATTGACATACACGGAATGGAAATTATCTGCTAGCAGCTGGGAGAGGGAAGACAGCCCCCTGCTGGACGTTAATAGAAATTGCATGTTACAAGCAAGGCTCTGTTTGAACTTGCCTTTCTCCAGTTTGTTTGCAGAAAAACTTTTCAGTGATCTCATTAAGAGGAAGAAGGCTTTCAAGAAAAACTAAGTGAATATAACTGGGCATTCCTTCAGTTTTACGTTAAATGGAACCAAAGTTACTTTTTAATCCAAAAACGGTTTTATTGCTACAGCTGCCATTAGCTGTATTAGTAGCCTAGCTATTGGGGAGTGAATTGTTTTAAATTGATTGATTTATTCTTTTTCTTTTCTAATGGCACATTAAATTAATTCTAATTTAACAGGATACCGTCACTGCAGAAATGTTTATCCACATTAGAGTCGCATATAGATATTCAGATTGTTGTCAGATATGTTATTCCAAAAAAATATATAAATTGGAATAATATTTAGTTAAATATGCTATATATGCATACATGAATATATAATCTGCATGCATGCATACACGTAGGCCTATAATGTAACGTGTATGTCATTTTGAATTTATTTAACGACTTAAATATTTGAAACTTAGAATAACTGTCATAAATATAAGCATAACACGTGCTGTAATCACACTCATCCCAGATGACGGTATGAATCTCCGTCCAGGCGTCGCGTAATATAAAAGCGCATTAAACACGAAACGCAGTATGACGGCAGACGCGCCTTCAGAGCAGGTGAGCAGCGCCGTGGGTTCGGACAGCTTATCCGGCACCCCCACGTATTTACTTACATGTTCCGACACCGTCTGATTTTATGACACAGATATTTGCCGTCTGCCGAAAGGGGATAACGAGCCGGGCAGTCATGCGCTCAGGACGAACACGGAGCGGGTTACGGCGCCGTGACATTTTACCGCGGAGCGGCGGAGGACTGTCCGCGGAGATGATGATTGATGAGGCCGCCAGGCTGCCCCACGCACCACTGACCCCAACGCTGCTTCCTGACGTCTCCGAGACGCACCTGCTAGTTTATGAATCCACAGTTCGGGCTTCGGGATACGCTGCCCCCCGAAATAGAGGCGTTTATAACATTTAACATTTTCCCACTAGGCAAATTTTTTGAAAGACCCATGTTTTAAACATGAGCCTAAAGGTCTGACTGCAGCGTGTCGCGATCGTCTACGCCATGACAAGAAATTGTAGCATCTCTGAAATAAAGACTAATTAAATAAATGATTTTTACACCTAATCCTATATCAGAACAATTAGGAAGACATACCTGCTTTAGAGTAAATTAAGTCTTTCTCACGTGGTTACCTGGGGGTGAAATCTAAACTTTATTTATGTTACTGACATTTACACATTCAGGCGCTCAAGGTCACATTCATCTCTAGGAATGGTTTGCAGGAAACGTTTGGCATTATCTATTTTACCTTGCAGTCGCCTTTGTTCCAGAATCCAGTGTAACTTACAATGTTTACATTTTTGCTTTTAACACAGAAGTTAAACATGTTACTCAAGGGTCCAACAGTAATTACCTCAAGCCATAAACCACTGTGATCTCAAGCTCCATAACTACACTATTAGTTTAACCCACTGACCCTTCAATTTAAAAAAATTTAAAAGGAAAAAATGGTAACATTGATCCATTCTGCAGAGGCATAAAGCATTCCAGGTGTGTCTTTTGTTTGAGAAAGTAAGCCAGGATTACAATTAAACATACAACACACATTTCCTTTTTGTACCTATCAAGAATGAACCCTCATTAAAGCAACCCCCAATAATTAGGCCTACCTATAAGAATATAAAGGCTTTTTATAGACTTTTGTTTCTGAAAGGCTATAAAACAATATCTATTCTCTTTGCAGCATCAGTCTCTTCAACAGTGATTTTTATTCTTCTGTTTCCTGTCTGTCTACCATCAGCAGTTCATTATAATACGGCATTATTTGATTTTATATTTACCCTTTGTCTTGGAAGAACGATTAAAAAAAAACAAGACAAAAAATCTTATTTGCATCACCTTATCTAAATGTCAGCCGGCAATATTTTGTTAGATATTAGCGAAGCTGCCAGCCAGCGCTGTGGGGTAATTGCAGGCAGCCTGGCAGTGAGATTTACATAATTCTAGAGAGGGTAATTAAAGGATCCAGGGGTTTCTCCTCTGTTTTTTTCCAAATCCCCCCTTTCCTTTTCGCCGCCGCCATGCAGAAGGAGCATTCGTTTACATTAGGTGCCGCTCTTCTTGCAGTTCGTTTGCATAAAATTAGAGGTTTTCATGATCTCAAACAGCAGGGCGACATTTAAAATTCCATGTTAAAGTGCCCACCTTTGGATAGTTATATGTTAATGCCCCCATCCTGCTGCTAAAAGCTCTTTGTTGTCTCCTTTACACAAGCATGCCACCCACCATCCCCCCCCCCACACGGTGGACATGGTGATGGTGTCACCCAAGTTAAATTAATACAGCATGTGGACCGGCTTACACAACCGCCCTAGTCAGGGTATCTGGGTTACCCGCTGTAGCCACTCTGGCCGTTACTCCGGATCTGTTCCCTGGGGGGCACCAAAGATCCTTTCTGTTCATAATCAGTTACAGTAGTATCTCCTATGTTACAGTGTTGTGTAAAAACATGCTTCCTACTTCGGGTCTTTTCCAGTGTGTATGCCTCTGTCACCATCTGTATTCTTAATTCCCGTCTTCATTATATACTCCCACGTGCCTCTTTAAATGGAGGACGGGGGAACGTGTTGGATTCACAGCTGCCCATTCTTCCTCTTAATACCCTTGTAATTTGCACACAGCTTGACATCATTGCAACATGAATCGGGGACTCGCACATACACACAGACACACACACAAATAAACGACGACCCTCCCCCCATGCCTCGTCCAGGTGGTACAGTCCATTTCATATCAAATAATGGGTTTCATATTACTAATGTCATATCTATGAAGGTAGCTGATCCTCGGTGCCCTCTGATATCAGTTCTTGGTACAGCATAACAATCGGCCCGCCAACTTTTACAGTAGGCTGAGGGACTGCAGGAGTTGAATTTTTAGCCGTGCCTTAGAGATGGCACTCTTGCAGATGGTCATATTTAATGGATGCTTTATAAGGTGTCCTGCTTGTGCCCCAGGTCACAGGCTGTTCATAGGAGCCCCCAGGAGAGATACTGCAGTAGAGTTTATGACAGCCCCGGGAGAAATTAGCCCGTCTTAAAACGTGAGTTTAAGGAGCCTCAGGTGAATCTGCAGCTAAATGTGGCGTGTCCTCCACATAACTCAAAGCCACCGGTCCGGTTTCTCGGTTTTCGAAAATGCAAGGCAAGCTGACCCTTAAACCACCTAGCTGGAGACTTTGACAGGAGACAGTCAAGTCTCCAGTACAGCCAGGCACAACAGTTTCTGTTGCTTAAAAAAACCCATCGCTCTCTGTAATATATTTCTAGAACCTTCTCTGCCTTAAAACAGGATTTAATTAAACAAAGAGACAATTACAGCCCAGTATTAGTACGTACTGATTGTTTTCTATCAAACATGTGACCAAGAACCAATCAGATTTAAGCACAAAACAAAGTCTATTAGATCCCCTGTGATATTTCCAGTTATAAATGAAATCAATTTTTTAAATATATAATGTATATATATGAAATAAATTTTATAAATACGCTAGATATTGATTGCAAATCCATAATGCTGTCTCTGTGAACACTTCCTTTTGCGCATGTTATCGATCTCAGAAACAGGGGAACAGAAGATTTCTTAGCTACTAAGTAAATCTCGGTCTAAATTTCACTCACCTCAACCTGAAACTACAGCCACGCAGTTGACATCATTCTGCAGAATCGACAGCCGTCTTGATAAGTGTCCGCTCATCGCGTCTGGTGCCACCTTTTCCCGGCGCTATAAGCATCTTGGGCACGCAGAAGCGGTGGCAGTGGGTGTTTTTAACGATCTCCAAATGGGCACAGTTTTTTCGCCATTAATCAAACACTAATTACAATGCAAAACAATGCCTTACAAGGGTGGCTTGTAAATGGAGCTTCTATCCTGCCAGTGTAATCAGTGTAGGACTTGTGTTGTTCTATTAATCTTATCTGATTTTTTTTCTTTCATTATTCTTTAGGACAGAGGTATATGTTCTGAGCCCAGCTAGACAGCGTTAAACTACTGATGGAGAATGCCTGCACCTCAGCATCACCTTGTGAAGAATGAAAATCTGCTCAGTCTTACATTTATTTCTTTACTACATTCTAAATCAGACCTGGGCAAAAACTGGCCTGCAAAGCAATTTCTAGTGGGCTGTGTAATCATTAAAAAAAAAAAAGTTCAAGTCCCATGAGTAATCACATGTTAAACATGAAAAATGTGCTGGTTCTATTGATTTCTGCATATATTTTTAAAAGGGGAAAGTAAAATCAAACAGGTATTCCATTGTAGTTTTCAAAGAACATGAAAATGATGTTTAATAATGGCCCCTGTTGACATGGTGAAGCTTGGATTAGGCCCAGGCCAGTACTACATGTTCATTTTTGAATGAATTGTCACAATGTCAGACATGCCTAATGAATAAATACGCAGGGGAGCAAATGACGGTAAACACCGTTTACTCAGCACTACTGCCGGAGAGGTCCGGGCAGCGGTATGGACAGGGGAAGTGATCAGTACTCACCATCGGGGGCTGAATCACAAACACACCACATTAGGGAAACACGATACTCGGCACTTCACAAGAATTTGACACACCCACATATCACAAACATTTTTTATGCAAAAATCTACATTATGTACAGTCCGGCACAATGCATGCCCATATGCAAGTGTTTTAGCCTCGTTACATCACATTGCCCCCCCACCAAAAGTATCAGCTGTCCCCGGTGACCCCCAAGTCCACCACAAAATCCAACAAATGCTGCGGGGTGCTGGTGCCTCCAGAGCCCTCGGCATGCCTCCGCCCTCTGCCGCATCCTTGTCCTCAGCCACTACAGGGGGGTCAGTTCTAGCCAGGGGGGCGATATGATGCCAGGAACTCCCTGTGCAGGACCACAGCCGGACGTCGCTTGGGCAGTCACAGGTGTTAAACCACATCCGATCTACGATCTACGGCAGGCTGCAGAGCTTTCTCCTATAGAGCTCCTCAGCTGTGGAACGGTCTTCCACCGGATGTGCGGGTTTCATGCTCACTTTCAATATTCAAGTCTAGACTAAAAACACACCT